TTGGCTGCTCTGGGCCTGGAAGCGGAAACCTTTGAGCTGACATCTCTCTTTAGGTAAGCTCCTGGTGTTCCTGTGCATATCCCGCCCCCCCCCCCCATGGTTACTACTGCAAATGCCCATCTGGAGCTAAAAAAAAAATCACTGGGCTCTGCTGTACCCAGCCTTTGTAGAGTACAGATGACCCAAACCAGGCTGGATGACCTCATTTAGTTCTTGAGGTTTTATAAGAACTAGAAGGAGTTGAATCCAAAGCTAAAACTAGTCGAGTGTTGTGACACTCACCCGTAATCTTAGTCCCCCAGAGACGGAGACAGGAGAGTTGCTTTAAACTGCTACATAGAGAGAACCTGTCTCCAACAAAAGACAACAAAACAAGACAAAACACCACTCAAACTAACCAACCAAACAAAAAAACGAACTGGATTATAGTAAAGCGTCTACTCGGTGGCCTCTGTGATAATCTTATTTTCAAGAATGAAGGACAGAGGAGTGGCCATGGCGACCAGGCCTGACAGTAGCCCGGCTCCCTTTTAGCTTTGTCTACATCCCCCTTCTGCTTCTCACTGACATGAACCTTGCCAACGTCCGAGCCAGCCTGACATAGGCATCTGCATGGAAAAATAAAGATGTCTCTGTTCTTTGTTTATGCTGTGAACTCATCATCATCATCATCATCATTATTATTACATACGCCTGCATGATTTTCACACCTTCCAGTGATGAAGGTTAAGAAAGGAAGGGAGAGGCTAGAGAGACGGCTCAGTGGTTAGGAGTGTGTGCCGGCAACCATGGTCCGCTGAGTTCAGACCAGCACTTCTGTCATGTGTCAAGTGTGGTCTCATGTGGGCCTGTCACCACAGCACTTGGGAGAGAGGGGGTGGAAACAGGGAGGCCACTGGGGCTTGTGGGATGCTAACCTAGCCAGAAAGCAAGAGCTCCAGATTCAGGGAGAGACCCTGCCTCAAGAGAGTGTGATAGAAAGTGATAAAGGAGAAACCTTCTGGCCTCTATAAGGACATACAGGTGCATGCACTCACACACACAATATGCGCGCGCGCACACACACATACTCACACACACACACACTCACACATACTCACACACACAATATGCACACACACACACATACTCACACACACACTCACACACACAATATGCACACACACACTCACACACACACACCACACATATACACACACAGACAGGCAGACACATAGATATGAGACAGACAGACAAACATACAGACACACACAGAGAGGAGACAGACAGACACACAAGACAAACAGAGAGAGAGAAAGAGAGACAGACAGACACACATAGAGAGAGGGTAGGAAAGAGAGACAGACACATACAGAGAAGGACAGAGAGAGAGACAGACAGACAGAGAGGGAGGAAAGAGAGAGACAGACACACAGACAGACACACACATGGCAGGGGAGAGAGAGACAGACAGAAAGACAGACACACACGTGGGGTGGGGGGAGGAGAGAGAGGGACAAGACACATACACACAGAGACAGAGAGACAGAAAGGAAGCTTTACGGATTGGTCTGAACAAAACACCAGAAACAAGCTGGATAAACGCCAGCTCCATTGGACCGTTGTGACGCTACACATGTGGCCATCAGCCCCAACGATAGGAACACCATCATTACAGTCACTGTCCTTGGATTCTTTGCAGACGATTCAACATAATCCCGTAATTACTTTTGCAGACCGGGTGCTGTGCTTGGGGCCTGAGAAATCTATTTTATGGCTTATTTATTAAGCAGGCATTTGACAGTCTAAGGAGTTTGTTCCAGCTTGGCGGAAACTCCAGGCTAGGACTAAAGCAAGTGTTTTCTTCTCTTTTCAAAAATAGAATAACTTTTAATTAGTCTTTGGAATTTTCATAGAGATAAACAATGCAAACATCAAGAGAACACGCACACGTAGGCTGTTGGACTGCAATTCTGTATTTTTTTTTGCAAACAATAACCAAGTGCTCGATAGAATTTAAGAAAAGGACATCAGCGTGGCTGAGGTCACATCTGAGGCCAGTGCAAAAGGATGGCCGACCACACATCAAGAGGAGAATGCCACCAAAGTCAGCAAAGTTCCCTGGGAGAGATTGTGTCCTAGTGTGTGGATTTGATGACTATGGCCATGTGAAATTGTTTCAATTGTACTTCATTGTAGACTTCAATCTCCTCAGAAACATCTCTTGAACATAACAGTGGTCTGTAGAATATAATAATGATAATATCTAGCACCTACAATTAGCCAACTACTATTTAACTATTTTACTTACATTAGCTAAGTGCATTCTTACACTTATCTCACAAGGTAGGTACTATTTACATGTGCGCATGCGCGTGTGCATATATGTGTGTGTGTGCGTGTGTGTGTATTAACGTGGGTACATATGCACATTTGGGGGTGTGGAGGTCAACTTTAGATGTCTTCTTTGGTCACCTCTAACTTATTATTTTCGAGTCTGAGTCGCTCAGTGAATTTGGAGCTCATCAGTTGGGCTAGGCTGGCCGGCCAATGGGTTTTAGGGTTTTGCCTGTTTCTGTTCCCCTTAGCCAGTATTGGGGTTACAGAGACATGCCACAACATGTGGCTTTTATGCAGGGCCTAGAGACTTGATTTTGAGTTCTCACGCTTGTGTGGCAGGCACCTTACTGACCGAGCATCTCCCCAGCCCACAGGTACTATCTTTAGGCCCATGTTACAAACGAGGAGACATTCAGGTGGGAATTAGTGAACTTTCCCAAGACCCAACAGGAAGCATAGCAGAGCCAGATTCCAAGCCGGGCAGAAGGCTCTTGCTGTGGGATGTTCTGTAGGTCCTGTGGGAGCCCATTCTCAGGTTCTTTGTGGCGTTACCCAGCAGGTCCATATAGAGGATGATTAGGACCATGGGCCTGAGTGCAGGTGTTTGAGATGGTCTGCACTTGGCTGTGCTGGGGGATGGTCTGTATGCTCTGATTGGTTAATAAATAAAACCTGATCGGCCGTGGCTAGGCAGGAAAGATAGGTGGGACTAACAGAGAGGAGATATAAAAGGACAGAAAGGCACAAGGAGACGCTGCAGCCGCCGCCATGACCAGAGAGGCTGTAGCCGTCGCCATGACCAGAGAGGCTGCAGCCGCCGCCATGACCAGCAGCATGTGAAGACGCCAGTAAGCCACCAGCCACATGGCAAGGTACAGATGTATGGAAATGGATCAATTTAAGATAAAAGCACAGTTAGCAAGATAAGGACAGTTAGCAGGAAGCCTGCCACGGCCATGCGGTTTGAAAGCAATATAAGTGTCTGTGTTTACTTGGTTGGGTCTGAGCGGCTGTGGGACTGGTGGGTGACAGAGGTTTGTCCTGACTGTGGGCGAGGCGAAAAAATCAAGCTACAGGCTCTAGCATGTGCTTCTGTCCTGCTAAAGCACATGGCTCAGCAAAGACTGTTCTAGCTACATACCAGTGGGGGGAGAGTACCCGAACTCCGAGTCACAGTTCAACATGTGAGTGGATGCCACTCCTGCTTCCCAGCAGGAATCTACAGGGAAAAAACGAAGATTTCTCCACTCTTCGTTCATGCGGTGGATAGATTGTGACTTCGCATGTGACTAAATGATTCCAACTCCCGTCAGGTTATGAAGCTTAAGAAAGGACGTTACCTATTAGGGGAAGACTTGGATCTTATATGTTTAACCTGAATAAAAGACCTGAAATAAGATGGGTAAACACCAGCTTAATTCAGGTCATATTTGAACGTTCTGGAAGGCCCTGTTACCTCCTACTTGATACTTTCAGTGAAAGGAAAGCCAATGGGCTCTTTCATGGGTTGACAGCGGTGGACTTGTAGAAATAAGACCGCCCAGTGCCGTTCTTCCCATCTTTTGACTCGCTGCTCATTGTGAGACACGTTTCAGTGAAACAGGTGGACTCATTGAGAGAGGTGACAATCACCTATTACCTCACCCCCTAGGGATGAAGCAGGTGACAGGATGCAGGCAGGAAAATGAGCCTGAGAACAAAAGATGGTGTCATTACTTGGAGCCACCACCGGCTCCTGTTTCCCAGGCAGGCCACTGTGGGGACGATTCTGCCCACTCCATTTCCTTTGGAGGTCCTGAGCTCCCCATCGGGGTTGCTCTACATGTTGGTGCTTTCTGAGATTTGTTTTTACCTCCTTGAGCTAATGCCTGCTCTATAAAACCCGAGAGGGAAAACATGTAGCGCCATGCGGTAATTTAATACAATGATACAGTTCAGGAGACAAAATGTTGCTCCGTCCCCCTGTATCTGTGTCATTTGGCCAAGAAAGGAATATGACTCACGGTGCAGTCCTCTGGGAGCAATGAGAGTCTTGATTACACCTTGGTTCCTGACTGTCTTGTGGAACAAACACTTGGGTATTCAGACACCTGGGGGGACTGTAATGATTACATGTAACGATCTCAGGTTCCAGGACGGGACTTGAGTATTGGCCTTTATGAGAGAGAACACTCCTGGGTCAGGCCAGTGGTCGACAGTCTTTTCCGCTCTTCCAAGGTAAATATAAGATGCGGTTCCACTCTACTGTGTGAAAGTTAGTCCCAAAGAAATCAGATAGTGATGGTTATCTTTATGGCAGCCAGCTGAATGGCAGCCATTGAAAGAAAATGACAGCCGAAATGGTAGTTCTCAGGACTAAGAAAAAGGTGAGACGTGAAAGAAACTTCAGTGTGTTAAATCACCCGTCCGTGTGCCACAGCCAGTCCAGGGGTGAATGATGAGGGAAATGATTGGGAGTGATATTTGACAAGGTTCATTAGGCTAAGTGTATAAATCAAGCTTCTGGGCTTCAATTTCAGCGATGCTTTCTGTTCTGGAAAGCCGCGAAGTCAGAGGTGCTTGATAAGAAAGTGCCAGAATGAGCCCATCTGTTAGCGCTTATCGGGTTTCTTTTGAACATACTGTACAAGCCGCGCACAGGTATAGAGAGTGTATCTGCGGAGATTAAAAACCATGGTTACCTTAGCACACAGCTGTCTCTGGGGGCGCCTCGGTTCTTTTCTTTCTGTGGTCTGCATCTGCTTCCTGGGGCTGTTTTGCTTAACTGGACGGCTGCCTTTGGAGTGTGTGGTGTCTTGAGTCTCTTGGGAGCGCTGGAGGATGGAGGGTGGAAGCTGTGGAGACAGAAGAAATTGCTGGAGGCCAGTCTGGAGCGCATGTGGCAGCTCAGACATCCCTTTGCACAGATAATTTGCTGGTGGTAGACTGATAGATAGGTGACTTCTGTTAAAATCGTCCTACTTGCCTTTCAAACTCCAGTCTGCAGCCTTCCACCCATATGGAATCCATCTGAACCTACAAAAACATCCAAACACCAATGACTTGGGGATAATATTTTTAAAGGAGCAATGTTTCTTGATTTCTCATTTCATTTTAGAAGAATCACCGCAGCTACCAGAGATAACCCCTCTGGAGACTTTGAAACTAGGTTTTTCCAAACTTCCATGAAGCTAGAAGGAAGCAGGATGGGCACCCAGAGGGCTGGCTTCTTTCTCCCTGGGCAGCATTTTCTGAGGTAGCAAACCCCTGCTTTCCCCCTTCTTCTTCAACAAAAAGTGAAGAGATGAACATCCCTGCTTGGGTCACGGGAAAACGATAGAATGATTCGACCCTGTGATTCACCGGCACAGCCTGTATCCTCTTCTTCACAGGCAGGGGGTGATGAGTGTGGGAGCCCAGCTTTGGGCTGTCACCTTGGGTATCAGGAAATGGGCAGCTCAGGCAGTATGCAGGGGTCACTCAGACCCTGGGGTTCAGGTAGGTGCGGACAGGCTGCCACTTGAGGGAACATCTGACTCTCTTTACCAAGGGCACAGGTTAACATGGAGAGTCGTTATCTGTACATATTCAAAACTGTTCCTGGTGACAGAAATGAGGATGTGCTTGAGCCCCGGAGAACATGGCATCTCACATGTGTCTTCTCTTAGGGCACGGCAGTTGCCAATTGAAAGGCTTACTTATTCCATAGTAATCGGAGAGTGACCCTAGTTACTTCATCTACGAAGTAGGGGGAGCTAACTAGTTAGTTCCCTCCAGTTTTCTTCTGACTTATTTAGAACCAGGGGTATAAAGGGAGGACAGAGCGCATCTTAAAACAGCACAATCTCCTTATGCCGTCCATTTTCCAACACAGAAAGAGCTATTTCACAGGGCTGGGAGAAAGAACGAATCCTTGAACCTCTTTTCAGTGCGTTTTCATCCTGCAGCCTCTCTGGACTCCGTCTGGCTTTACCTCCCCATATCTCAGTCTGTGAGGATCACTTCCGGTCAGTGGTTAATCATGGGCAACTTGCTTTACCTCTCTGGACCTCAGTTTTCTTAGTCATAAAATGTGGATAGTAGTGTTTTTACTTTGTGGAATTATTGTGAGAACAAAGCAGGTTAATAGATATAAAATTCCTTAGAACAGAATTAAATATTGTAACAGTATCATTAGTACTGTTAAAGTATTTTGAGTCTTCCCCAATATTTTAAATTAAAATTTTATTATTATTTTATGTGTATGGGTGTATTGCCTGCATGTCTGTCTGTCCACCATGCAGGTGCTTGGTGCCCAAGGAAACCAGAAGAGGGTGTCTGATCTCCTGAAACTGCAGTTACAGATGGTTGTGAACTGCCATTTGGGTACTGGGAATTGAACCTGGGTCCTCTTGAAGAACAGCCAGTGCTCTTAAGCTCTGAGCTACCTCTCTAGCTCCTTTCTCTATGATACTCATGGGTTTTCCAGGCACAGTGTAACAGAGATTGAAGAGGGGCTGTGAAATGTAGGATTATATGATAATGCTCAGTCGCAACTCCATTGTGAAACTCAGGGCAGTGATGTGTAACCAGGGCAGCGGTTGGTTTCAGGTAATGTAGTCATGGGAAGAACGAGACAAGTGGACTTCTGCACCTTTGGAGCAAACAGAGGTTGAGGGGAGACTGAGATGGAGGAAGATGGTGAGGAGGGCGATTCAGACATGAACATGTGAGAAGACAGGTAAGTCAGAAGTTAGAGCACAAATAAAATTTATCTGGGGATCAGAGGACAGAGCCAGCCACTAGATTAGACATAGAGGTCAGGCAGTGGTGGCACACACCTTTAATCCTAGCACTTGAGATCTTACATCTTTGCTTGGGAAGGACACACGCCTTTAATCCCAGGAAGTGATGGCAGGAAACACAAAGGTATATAAGGCATGAGGACCAGGAACTAGAAAGGTTTTGAGAAGTTCAAATCAGAGGTAAGGACTCAGAGGCTTTCAGTCTGAGGATTCGTGGAAACAGGATTGGCTTAGGAGTTGGTGAGGTGAGGTGGCTGTGACTTGTTCTGCTTCTCTGATCTTCCAGCATTCACCCCAATATCTGGCTCTGTTTTTTTTTTATTATTATTAATAAGACCTTTTAAGATTTGTGTTTCACAGGGTGATAAAATGGGGGCTATTTTTTAAAATTATTATTATTATTACTATTACTACTCAATAGCGTGGATTAAACACAGGGTCTCACACATGCCCAGCAAGCACAAGACTACTGGGCTATATCCTTAAGCCTTTAAAGATATTTTATTTTTTATTCTGAGACGGTGTCAAATTAAGTTGACAAGGCAGGTCTTGAGTTTGCCCAGGCAAGCCTTGAACTTGAAATGCTTCTGCTGCAGCCTCTGAAACAATTGGGAACACAGGCTTTGCCCCCCCCCCCCATCTGAGGCAATGAACCGCAAACACTGAAGAGTCGGGAGTAGAGGTCTGAGCCTCTGGAGACTGCCTGTCTGCCCGCCTCACGCTCTCAACCACTTGTTGTCACTCTAGCTGTCCTAGGAGATTTGGAAGCACTCGGCCAAGCAGAGGGGGTGAAAACTGAAGGGAAAAGAGTAACAGTTCAAAGGGACCCCCCCCCCAAAACCAGGCCCGCCCCCAAAACAACAGTAAGAAAGAGCAAGGCCTGTCTGCCAACTGATTGGACAGTGGACTTGAAGTAGAGGCCAGGTCAGAGGTCACTCCGCACGTCCAGGTCTGTGGGTTTGGGAATTAGAGACAATGGGAAAGGGGCTGAGAACTGACTCAGGAAAGAAGGAAATGAGACCTCGCTTTTGGGGAAACCGAGTCTGCGACAACAGCGCGATCCCCTCTAACAACGGCGAGCTGGTATTATTTACTGTGCCCCCCCCCCCCTCCCCGGGGCCACTGTTTTATCCCGAGTGCATTTCTTCCTCTCGGAACTCACAGGCAGGCAGCGGGTGCTACTTACTGTTGCTCCTGTGACGCAAAGGACGAGTTCACAGCCGACTTGACACTCAAGCCGGCCTGGATCCAGACCTTCTGCGGCTCCTTGGCTTCCCTTGCCACCCCTTAGGACAGCCCGACCCTGGCAGGAAGTGACGCCAATGGTTACTACATAAGGTGGCCCTACAGCCCGCAGGGTTCACAGCAACTACGGAATGAAGGAGCGGTTATTTTTTGCAGGGGGAAGGTGCACACAGGTGGGACGCTGTGAGAAGTCATATGTTGGGAATGGTGCAGAGCTCCGGGAAGCTGAAGGAGACGTAAGCAGCCAAAAGGATGCGTTAGATCGGAAGGGACTACTGGCTTGTGAAGCGGATGGAGAGGGACGTCCGAGCTGAGGAGGTAAACTTCCTCCAGGATGGCAAGGACCAGCGGCTGTGTGGTCATCGAAATGAAAAAGAAAGGACTGGGTGGCTAACTGAAGGACTGCTTTGCCAAGTCTCCCATCACTTACACAAGACAGACCTTAGTGCTGAGTCCAGTGTGGTCCAGGCGTGAGCCTGACCTGAACTTGCTATGGAGCTGAGGATGACTGAGCTGCTGCATCTCCTGCCTCAGACTCTCAAGGGCTGGGAGTGAAGGCGTGCGCCACCACTGTGCCGAGTTCCCGCGGCTGTTTTGGGATTGAACTCCGGGCTTCCTGCCTGCTAGGCAAGCAATCTACCTATTGAGTTTTGTCCTAGCACGTGTTCCCATTCCCGACCAAGCCAAGGATGTGCTCATCTCAGGACCCCTCTCACATGCTGTTCTACATCGCGATTCACTTCTCCAATAAATGTTTGCTGAATGCTTAGTATGCAGCCAGGCCTGTTTGCAAATAAATGGACCCTACCCCCCAATGTAGCCTTTCGGTTTTTAAATTATCATCCTATCAGCGTCTCTCACTTCTCTCTGCTGAGACATTGATTTATTAGAGACGCCTCTTGGGACAGACAACCTCATTGACAACACTGGTCCTTGCCGCTCACCTCGCCGTCCCGTATTTGCTTTGCTTGGGTTATTTTATGTAGTAGAACAGCGGTTCTCAGCCTGGGGGTCGAAAGACCCTTTCCCAGGGGTTGCCCAAGACTACTAGAAAGCACAGGCATTTACATTACGATTCATGACAGAAGCAAAATTACAGTTATGAAGTGCCAACGAAATGATTTTATGGTTGGGGGTCAGCACAGCACCAGGCACTGTATTCGAGGGTCGCAGCGTTAGGAAGGTCGAGGACCTCTGTGGGAGGGTCACCTGACACTTCCTGTTGTATCTTTTTCTTTGTCTCTGTCTAGTCCCAACACAACACAAGCTCTGTAGTAGAGAGTTTGTTTTAGTCTCTGCCGTGGTTCCAGAACAGGACCCTGCACATAGTAGGTGATTTCAAATACAGAGGAATGAACTAAGGCATGTATTCAGGGGACGCTTTTAATTTGGAAACTCATGTCTTTATTCTAGGACAACTGCCTGTGTTATTTCTCTGGTCATTTCCTTCGTATCCTGTTTTCTTTCCAAACTCCTATCACGGTCTCAGATTCTGGACACTCTCAAGTGCCTGCTGACTTTTAGTAAGTTCACACTTGGATTTTTTTTTTTTTTTTTTAAGATAAATTCTTGCTATCTTTTCCTGGGCTGGTTCCAAACTCCAGGGCTCAAACAGTCTTCCTGCCTCAGTCTCCCAAGAAGTTGGGACTGCAGGCATAAGCCAGTGCACCTGGCTATCTTAAAAAACTCGTACCCACTGATTTTAAGTTCCACTGACATGCATTTGATTTCTAAGAGTGCTTTTGTGTTCCTCCTTACATTGGCACAGTCATTTTACGAGCTAGACTGAGTAGGATAAAACAGACCCAGCATGCTCTCTGTTCTTTCCCGTCTCTCCCTGTTAAATCCCATTCCTGGCTACGGAGCCTCATCATCTCATCTAGACCTCAGACATGTTAGTTGGTCTTATAAGAAAAACAAAAAGCCATTGGTCACTTTTTGGGACAAGGCAATGACTTCTAAAGTTCCCAGACAATGTGAAGCTCTAATTCAAGCCCAAGCCCCTCTTTCTTTCCCAAGACTCAGTCCTGATGACCGTGCCCACTCAGGGCTCAGTTTCCTGAAGCTGGGAGACACATGTAGCTTGACTTCTCTATACCTTTGCTTCTCCCCCCCCCTTTTTTTCTGTCCACTTTCTAAATCAAGGCTTCTCAAACTTTTCCACTCATGACTTCTTTTTGACTGAGAAATTTTTACATAACCCTGGGTATGCAAGTATGTAAGATAAGTGTACAAATCAAACATTTACTACTACTACTAATAAATCATAATGGAATTAGCTTTTAAATAATCCTTTGGTATGCACAAATCTTACTGTTTATTAAAAAGTAAAGTAAATTTGCATGCTAATGAGATAGAGGTTCTCTATATATACATAACTAAATCTTGGCTGAATACTGGGTACTGCGGGGCATAGAGCATCTTGAATGTTTTCAGTTGATTGGCATTTTAATCCTCTAATCCCCAGTACAGAGAATGTCACTTTGCACAAATGAGTACTACAAAATGGAAGTGTGTTTAGGGTTGTTTTAAAAATTGTTGGAAATTCTGCCCTAATTCCAAGCCAAAATTTACCCAACTCAAAAAAAAAAAAAAAAAAAAGAAAGAAAGAAAGAAAGAAATTCAAATTAATAACGGAAGCAGAAAAATTTAAAGTCAAACACCGTGATACAATTCAATCCAGAGGCACCAATTTGATAATTATATGTTGAGGGATGTAGACAGGATAACAAATCAAAGCCTTTGCTTTCTGTCTTCCAACTATGGTGTTCTACAAGAACAGAAAACTTTCTGTGTACAGTTAAAGCCTTGCAGTTCATAACATAGAATAGCTTTGACCCTGAGCCAGGGCTTTTCAGGCACCAACACACACAGTATGGCAGCTTGTAGAATGCAAAGGTGCACATGCTCTGTCTTCAGATAGGAGGCCACTGTGAAGTCCTGGGGTGAGGCTGGGCCAGCTCAGCCTGAAACACCTTGGGGTCATCATGCTTTGATTTTGGGTTACCTTTTGATTGCTGCTTGTTCTCAAATCTCTTATTGTTGTCAAAATCTTCATGATTTCCACCTTCTGTCAGGTGTCCACGGTTTAAGAAGCTGGGTTCTAGATGCCAGGCCCCACATTTGGTTAGGTGCCCCTCCCCCTACAGACAGTTTAAGGAGCTGGGTTAAGATGCCTTTCCAGAGCCAGACCCAGAGCGAGAGGGCCCTTTGTGGCTCCTCCGACTTGTAACTTGATGATTTCCTTTGAGGTGGCAGGTGCACAATTGCCTTTTCCCTGGAGGGATGCTTTGGAAGTCCGCTCACCGAGGACCTCACTGAAGAAGGTGTGGGTGGGACTGGACCTCAGGACTGGACCCTTCTCTCAATGTCTGGACTTCTGGCAACGCGCTCTGGGTCATAGTTCGCTATTCTGCAATACTATTAGTTAGGCTCCAATGCGACTCCAGGTTCTCTCCTGCGGTCCGAATTTGCACCTACAGAAACACGTTTGCTGTTTGGTGGGCTAAAGAGGATCGATTCCGACTGTGTCACTTCCGCTGTCTTCCAGGAAGCCCGCTCCCACAGCCGCAGTCTTTCCATGCTCCCTTCCCACAGCAGAACTAGCTGATGACTACTCATTCTCAAAAGACCAGGGCCACAGATCAACCTTTCCCGAGGGTCCCTTCGGAGCCTGAATGGTGCCAGCATCTCTAGATTCCCTCCAACTACCAGGCTGTGGACCAGATCCAGGCACAGAACAGCATCACAGGGTAAAGCCTGGGAAGGGAAAAAGTGGGATTCAGAGCTAGTGCTGGGTCCCTGGGAGCTTGGACTAGAGCTAAGGGAACATAGAAAAGGACAGGGACTCTTTCTCAGTCCTGGTGGTGGGGGTCGGGGTGAGGCGACATTTGATTGAAGTTTATGCACAGCAGAAAAGCAGCCAGTGCTGACAAGACCCCTCCACCCCTGCATGTGCTGGGACTAACATGCTAACTGCTGCATTGAGATCAGTTCCCAAACACAACAGAGGCTTTTAATTTTTTGGGTCTGTGGCAGTGGTTCTCAACCTGTGGGTCGTGACTCCTCTGGGGCGACTGACCCTTTTTGCAGGGGACCAGTATCAGACATTCTGCATATTACATAGTTACATTATGATTCATGACAGTAGCAAAATTACAGTTATGAAGTAGCCATGGAAATAATTTTAGGGCGGGGAGGGGTCACTACCACGTGAGGAACTGCATTAAAGGGTCACAGTGTTAGGGAGGTTGAGACCCACTGGTCTATGGCTTCAAATATGTGCTGCTTGTTAAGAACACTGGCTGCTCCACTGGGACGTACTGGTGATGACACACTGTCCATGTCCTACGTCAGGGAAGGATATGTTCTGCTACTTTCTGGGAGAATTCGCTGCTGTCAGCTCCTGTGAAGGATGACCTCCTCCTGAGAGAGGAGAAACACCTTGTCCAAAGCCATGGCTTCCCGAGGCATCCCGTTTTGGTTCCCGGAGGGCAATTGTATTAAGCCACCTTGGTCCAGGACTCTTTCTCTGGCTGGCTGAGGCTGGCATCAGGCCTGGCTTAAGCTTGCCTCTGTCTACCCCCTTCTTCTCTCTTGCCCTCTCTTCCACAGTGTTGATCCAAGGCTCTAGATGACCAACATCAGCTTACCATCCACTTCTCTGAGAACTCAGTCTACAGCAGACTCTGCCCTCCAGCATGTGCTGATACCTCTGCTTCTCCAGTGTCTCCGTTACCAATCCTTTTGACTTTCCTAGTTTAAACATGATTTATTAACTTGTCATCGTATTGTGCCATTTCAAGAGGGAGTGGAGAGAAGAGCATATATCTGCCATTGTATTGGTTAGAAATAAATTGAAGAGGAAATAATTTATTCTACCTTTTTGCACCAGAAAAAGACACCTTCGGGGAACTCAGGGGTGAGGTCTTGCCATTGGAAGGTGAGGAACTCAGAAGAACAAGAGAGCAAACCTTGCTGAGGCCAGCTGGGACCAGACAGTTCCAACTATGCCGTCAGTGGACCACAGATTCATGAACGTAGATTAAGCGGGTTCAGTCAAGCATCAGAAATGGCCGGCTGACCCACAGATCCATGAGCAGTAGATACAAGGTCACAAGTTTAAGCCTTCGGAGGGGTTTGTTATAGGAATACACGGTTATAAGTTAAGCCACTGCCTTTGGAGGGGTTTGTTATTTTACAGCAATGGGTGATTGACAGAAGAGACAGACATAATCATTAGGTGGAAAGAATCATTAGGAGAATTGAAGGAACTAGT